ACTCCCTTTCTCTCCACCATCGCCAGAAGCTCTCTCTCCTGAGGTAAACGGAGTCCTGACAGCCTGGATTTGCCCCGCTGCACTCTCCAGCAGCCAAGGTATCTCTGGGGTAAAACACCGCAGTGCTGCCTTTGGCCCAGCAGCGAAGGTCAGAACTGGCCCAGGCACCATCTCACTGGTTATATTGGGATTCATATTCTAATACAGCTGTAAGATCCAGGGTATGGAATAGGTTTCAAGGCTGTTACCATTTTCTCTTTCTCCAGTGAAAAGTTTCACATCAACCCACATATTTACAGGAGAGCCAACACAATCAAGAAAGGAATTAGTCTGCATCTGCTACTGACCTTTGCTTACATGAACTCCCAGACCATTTGGGAGTTCATCAGTTGAGATGGTTCATTTGGGACCATCTCTCATCCATCTCCAACAAAAACATTGAGTAGATACAATAATTCAGAAGAATCCTTACTGGCTGCTGCCACAAGAGAAGAGGAGCAAAGCAGCATCAAATCTTGACCTCTCTGAAGGTCAGTAAGTAAACAGTGGCACTGTCATGAGGAGGGTCTTAAGGCACATTTTGACTTTTAGCATTTGACTGATTCAGTGACCCTCTCCCATCAAGCCTGACTAACTGTGCAGCTGGCAGGCAGGAAACAGAATAGACTGTCCTGTGGATAACAGCAAAGACACAGATAAACACACAGATACAAGGCAAAAAATGTAGATTCCTGAGAATGCAGACACTGCTTGAACTGTTCTGTCATCATCAGACGAATAGCCCCTGGGATCTATTCTGAATAAAGATCTTGCTTAATATTTCAACTGATGGCTTCAGAGTAAAATAGAAAAATGAGAGGTAATGACAAGTACACTAATGACAAGTACACTAATAAAACAACAAGAGAAGTTCTTCAGTAAAGAAGAACTGAAGAAGACAAAACCAATAAAATCGAGGAAATGAATATAAAATTTCAAAGTACAAGATGGTACACTAACAGATCAGGGAGGACTGGCTTT